ATTTAAAAGGTCTTCTATGATGTTATAAGGTGGGATTAAATCAACTAATAATAGGTCTTACTTATGTTTAGGTTTATTTTGTAGTCCAGGTTGAGTTGGGTTGCTTCATCTATAGTCACATCTATTAAGGTTTTCAGTTGGTTTTGACCTTGAGTAGGTTTGAGTCTTAATTATTTATCCCAGTTTGGTTCACTTCTTTTTTTAGGTCTTTTAATAGTATATAGTTGATAGCAGACTTGGTTGCTTACATATACCTCTTTATCTTCCTCATAGACTTCATATAGATTTGTGCTTCTGGATCAGATTAATACTTGGTTAGGTTAGTTTTGGATCCTTTCTAGACTCTGAACTCTATTTTGTTCCTAATTTCTATCTAGTCCCTGAGGTTAGTTTTGTATCTGGTCTCTTTCCATATTTCTATTTTGACTAGAGTTTCTATTTAGGATAAAGGGTCTTTCTAAGAGGCAATTTTGGAATAGGTGTTCTTTTTCTCTACACCTGTAATACTCATTGTTATTAAATTGCTAGAGGTGATAGTTTTAGTATTGACATTGGGTTGAAATTCTTCTCGATTTATAGAGTTAGCTACTATGTTAACTGTTATTTGATATATTATTTTGGTTATAGAAGTTAGGTTTATGGATTGTCTTGATCATGTTTATCAGAAGTTATAATTAATTATAATTGGGTTACAAATTGTGTTTCAATTTGAATACAAATTAGATTACAATTTGAATTACAGGATATGAATTTATTAGTAGGCCGATTTAACAATTATGAAATTAATCAATTAATTAATCAATCTAAAGACACTATATAAAACAATATGATTCGACAATTTGGGTCTTTTTACTTTACTAACAAACTGGTATGAGTTGAGAAAGATATCACGGAGACAAGAAATTAATGATAAATGATTTAAAAGATTTAGAGTAACAATTTATAACAATTTAAAAAAGTAATTTAGTTAAAGACAAACACTTCTATACAAGACTTTTCAAGACTCAAAAGGTTTTACTTTTTTTGAACTCTGAGTTGTAAATTAAATTCTATTTTATCCTTTTTGTAATTTACAATTTGTAATTTAAGATTAGTAACTTCTACTTCTAAATCTTTGTTTTTTACTTTGAGATCTGCATTCTCAGATTCAAGAACTAAGTTTCCTTCTGTTCAAAAATCAATCTATCTAGTAAGTCATATAATCTATCATGTAAGAATCTTAGTACTTTATTAACATTGGTTAATATAATGTTATTCTTGTAAATAAATAAAAAGATCAGTATCAATACGATAATAATGATACCTAAATGCAGTATTATATTTTTGTATTTTTTTTCAGCACTTTGATCATTACTATCTCCTTAATAAATATATATAGCTTGGTGTTAAGTTTGTTTTGTATTTCTTTGACCTTCTCTACAAATAATCAATTTTGGATCTAATTCACATTTATCAGTTAAATCATTCAAGACTACAGTATGGTTCTAATTAGAAAAGATTAGATATTAATCTTGATCATTATTTCTAATCTTTTCTGATTCGAGTTCATTAGTAAAACATCTAGTAGCTGCATAAAATATATCTGTAAAATTATTTTTTTCTCTAATATCACTTAATTCATTATGAACTTTACTCTGATTCGAAAACAATATACCATGAATTAAATTCAGAAGGAATTTCTAGTTTATGGTCTTGGGACTGATAAATAAGAACCTTGATCTGTTTTTCAAGATACTTTATGAAAAGTTTCACTTTATCGAAGTAAATCTGTGCTTGTACCTTCTTAAACTAGTCTATTCCTAGGAATAGAATCTC